AGTTTTTATTTATGACATTCTCGCCTATGTCATATTTCATCCTCTCGTTTTAGATTTTTGGCTTCTACAAGGGCTTTAGGAAATTTGCAACCTTGTGATATTTCTGATTGTAGTGGATGTAAACTGGCAAAATTTTCGACTTCACCTTATAATCGATGTATTTCTATTTCTTTTTCTCCATTTGATTTGATTCATTCTGATGTATGGGAGCCTTCTCCTATTGCCACAAAAGGAGGGTCTCGATATTATGTTTCTTTTATTATTGGGTTTATTTAATGAAATATCGTTCTGAATTTTGAGATATACACAACATTTCGTGCTCTTGTCAAAACTCAACATTCTTCTATTATCAAATGTTTTAGGTGTGATTGGGGTGGGGAATACACTTCTAATAAATTTTGTGAACTACTTGCCATAGATTTGTTAAGAAATATAGGGTTATTTTGTTTTATTATTTATTAAGGGTAAAATAGTCTTTTTAGTTTCCTTTGTTTAGCCTATATATAATCTCTTTGTATCTAGATTAAATTATCCTTTTGTATTCAATTACATAATGCAGAATCAATGAAACTCTAATCTCTTCTTCTTCTTTTTTATTTCTTTGGATTGTTTAACCTCCATCATACTTTTAAATGAAGAATTTTGCATTGCAAAAAAATAACCAAAAAAATTGTGTAACCATATGATTATTATTTTTCGTATTATATATTGTAAATCATAATTATCATATGTTTCACAATGTATACTTAGCTTCATTATTCTAAAATCTCTCTTCCAATGGTCCTATAAGTGGGCTAATGGCCAAGTGTTCGATGAATCTCTGGTTGACACGTCGTAGAGAAGGAATTTATGGCTAGAGAAGTTTTTGAGTTTGGTTCAACTTTTCATGTATGAACACCTTTGGACATATTCTAAACTAGTCATTAAAAGAGTCCTGCTATGAGTACAGAAAATACTCACAAAAATCACACATGAATGGAGGGAAGGGATTCAATCAAGTGAGGAGGGAAAACACAGATTGAAGGACAAGATTCACAAATTTCAAATTTCTGCAAAAATCTGTCAATAATTTCTGTACATAAGGAATTTTTCTCATTAAAAAGGTTAAATCTTTTTAGAAGTAGGAAAACGTGAATAGTGAAATAAATTTTGCTTTCAACTTTGCAAGTTAGTAATTTTAAAAATAAAATACGTAATGTGATTTGTCAGCTATATCATGAAATTTTTACTGGTCGTACACCATTCTTGTCTATAATATTTGTCGATATCTCCATCTATATTACATCGCTTGTACTCTAGTACTTAAATCAATTCCTGAGTGGGATTCTTTTTCAATTATTTTGTCAATTAATGATTCGATTTTAGTATGCAACAAAGTAGTGATGGCTTACGATATTATTTTAATAATTGATCTCATAATTTGGACGTATTGTTTGTGATTGAAAATATAAATAATTGAAATTAGGACTAACTTGCAATGTGTTGCAAGGGAGTCATTGGTGACTATGCTGCAACCCCTCTCTCATTTTCTTTTAAACAAATTACTTTTTCTCTTGTTTAATAAAATAGTTTGAATAAAAAAAATTAGAGAAAACGAGTCGAAATATTGAAAATGATAAGACAATTTGAATAACTTTCTATTTTTTATATATCGGACAAACTTGATACGACTTGCAACTATAGGCTATCCGTTCCCGACCATAATTGGATAGGCTAACTTAGTCCATTTGACACCACTAAAATCGACAAATGATATAATGCACTAAGTTAAAGACCCAATTTAAAATATTTCAAATCAACATAGCTTGTTTACACTTTTAAGCTCCCGTTGAGTATGACCCTTTTCTTTTTGTCGAAACCCTTGTACATGTAGGGTGTAAATTTCGGGTTGCGCTACCAAAACCGAGGTAGCCATACTTGAAACGAGTACATTGCTTTTGAATTATTCATCTTGCTCGTTCTTTCGGAGTATCTTCGGTGACACACAACGTTGGTGTCAAATTTATTTCCACACGAGGACGAAGTTCATGTCATAAACAATATATTATACACAGATTGACAAGTATAATTACGATATTGTCTTTTTAATTTTTATTTCTCCTATCTTTTTATCAATCAATTATCATCCATAGTCAACCTCATTTTCGTTTATATCTAGAAAAACTAAAAGAAAAGACTTATTTGACCACCTATCTCATTGTAAGACTTCAATTAAAGTCATTTAATAGTTATTATTAATTAATGCTAATAAAAATTGATTTGACTTTTACTCTATAATTGCATCACACATCACGAAAATGCATTATAAATTTGGTATTAGAGTAATGACAACTATATTTAATGATCTAATCTCATTATTATTTCTTGAAATTAAATTATCATAATCTCACATGATTGACAGTTATAAAGAGCTGAATCCCCGGTTTTAATATTGCTTATTAACGATTTCAACGTGATTTATTCAACTGAACTAATTCTTATTTTTTCTCTTTAATTTTGAACTTCTAAGCAACAATGGGATCAGGAACATAGCCCTTGTTTGGTACAGATTAAATTAAGATTTTTAGCAGATTTTAATAAAAGTTAATGAAATGTATTGTTAAAATTAATTGTTGACTTTGACTTGAAATTTTAATTCAAACCAAACAGTGGCTAATCTAGTGGGGTCAAAACCTTATTCCCAATCCTCGTCGTCAAAACCTTTCAATTTTATCGAAAAGAAATTCTAGATACACCTTCTAAAGTAGTCCTATTTTCACTCCAAATTCATAGTATGTTGTTAGCCATCCAGGCATCTAATTAATCACATAAGAACAATGGCATACTACATAACCTTTTTAAAATATAATTTTCATTCTTCAGTCTCAGCCGCACCTCTCATCTGTCTCAGTTGGACCTTTCTTTTGTCACTCGCTGACCAGGTTCTTTCAGTTGTTTTTCTCTTGATTTTCCAAGAAACGGTATTGAGATGGATCACCGGATTCTCAGAATCAAAAACTTGTTTCCTTGTTCTTTGTAATTTCTATTTAGAAAGAAGTAATTTGATTACTGTGGTGACTTTATGGGGTATGCTGCTCATTACACTTGTATAGTTTGGGTTTCACTTTGATATGACTTGGATGCTGTGTTTTTTGCTCTGAGTGGATTGCATACATTTCGTTTAGTTTTTGCTTTTGGGTATAGTTTGGGTTACACTTTGATACTTGTTTCCAATTATAATGTTTGAGTTTGGTCCTCTTCTCATATATCAAGTTAACTTGATTTCACATCAAGGACGAATCCAGCATTGTAGTTTAGTTAGGGTGGAGACCATTGACCGATGATCGTAATAACCGAAAATATAATTCGATACATATGTAAATGCACTAACAACCATTGAGCCCAACATCTTCTCCATAAATTTTTTTCACTTATCCCTGATTTCCTAAAAATCTAAATTCCCAAATCACAATTCACAATTCAAAATTATAACTCATAGTATTAGACAATAATATAACATAAATTTTCATTTATCATAATTCTTAAATCACAATTTCCCAAAAACTTTAAAAAAAATGTTTAACTAATAGAACTACATTTTACCATTATAACGGACAAGGATCCTTAAAATTTTTTTGGTGTGCACTAATAAAAATTCCCTGAAACCGGATTGTTTCATAGTACTTAAAACACAATACGATAGGAAGAATTATCTTTCTTCCCCTAGTTATAACCTTGCAAGTATGTTTAACTATGGATAATATTAAATTAATATGAAAAAGATTTGCACGTCGATACACATGGTTTCGAGGGTGTAGAAATATGATCAAATGGTCACATTACACGTCGAAGAGACAAAAAAAGGAAGAAGAAAAATACAAAATTTTTTGAGGAAAGGACGCATGTACAGAAGAATTAATGACAGAGCATTGAGGGGGAATCATTTCCTTGAGACCGATAAAAAATGGAAAATTGGTTCAACTATTTATTCTTTTATATATATATTCCTCTACATAGTAATACCATCCACGATTTCTCTTCTTTCTCAAAATGGATCATATAATGTTAACCTTAGTGCTATTGACAAAGGTCACGAAGCTGTCCACTGTCCAGCTATGGCATTTAGTTTTGCAACTGACCAACCGTTGAGGTTACTTTGGCACAACTCCTGAATCACCACCTTATTCATTTCTTTTCGGCGGACGTCATTTGCGAGTTGGCGACTTTAAGCTCCCGGTGGATTCAGCACAAGCGGCCGCAGGGCTGGCCAGGTACTGGGTCCGCCCTTGTTTCACATGACATTTTCAGTGTTTGAAAGACCATATTGCGATAATTTTATCACTTTCATCTTAGATAGATTCGTTGTAAGAGTTTGGTCTTCTAGAAGATTGTAATCTTTGATATTTGACTATTTATACATTTTGCTCTTTCTTTTAATTCATATTTTTTCTCTATTTCTTTTGAACATTTGTTTCTAAGTTTGGGTGAAAAGAGGAGTTAAATAGCCACAGGCTCTCTTGAGGAGGAGGAGGAGGAGCTCGACAATGTAGTGGGGAGGAAGAAACCACGGCGGTACAAGTTACTGGCGCCGATACTTTAAAATACATTCAAGGAACGTAATAATCTAAGCTGGTTTGTGGCATTTTTATTAAATATTTTAGCTGGTCAAGGGTATTTTTGTGTGCTAATCATGATTCTTGAGTGCACAAGAACTAAACTGAAAATCATTCCGATAATAAGTTAGAAAGGATAATTTAGAAACAATTAAAATAATATAAGAATCATATGGTTCGTCCAAATCTACACATTTCACATTAAAATCTTGTTGTCATTTATTTGTTTATTTTTTTTAGCACTGAGGCTCATTGCCCTCCTTTTATACTTCTATCTCCTTTCAATAGATGGTTGATATCTATACAAGTTTGCTATTGAAATTCTCTCTCTTTCAAGATATTTACAAGAAAATTATAGATAACAGTCTTTATAATCTTCCATGAGTTTCCTTCCTACCATGTATTATGCTTGACGTGTCTCTTAATTGCACCAACAAATTTCTCTCTAGAAACGCTCTAGAACATTATCTTTCAAATTAAACCCCCCTCAACATTGTAGAAAGTTCGTTTCGTCCAAAAAATTAAATACACTATTACAAACACTCTTTACCAAAATATAAATGTGAGAGTATCAGTCTCATTACAACACGAGCATAACTACATAAGAAATAGGTTGGCCGAATGTGTACAATACAATAAGATTTCAAAATGACTTTAAGAAGTTCTTTACCTTACCAAACACAAGCTTGCTAAGCAACAAGGCTCAGCTAGTGCACAAGAGAACTGAGGTCGGGAGTTAAATGAGATAGATTAGTACTTTCCGATTATTCAAAAAAAATAAAATCATAATTATTCATATGTTCAAAATAATAATGTTTGCAATAAGTAAAACCATTAACTAAATTAAGCAAAAACTTTGTGTTTCTTGGAAATTTAATTTGGGAATAGTCGAAAGTTTTGATTTGATCTACATAGGGGGTGTCTGTTTTTTATTCTCAAATTCTACGGTAAATCAATTCTCATTTTCAACCACACATTCTTCAATAAAATAATATTTTCCATCACATCAATAATTTTTTCTTCTTTTTCAACCACACATTTCCCATCATATTACTATTCAAAAATCAATTATTCCCTTCAATTCTCATTTTCAACCACACATTCTTCAATGAAATAATATTTTCCATTACATCAATACTTTTTTCTTCTTTTTCAACCACACATTTCCCATCATATCACTATTCAAAAATCAATTCTTCCTCTAAAAATCCATACCAAACAAGCACATACATTGTTTTTTCAAATATAGATATCATAATCATAATTTTGAAATGCATTTGTCATTTCATAAAACTAATTTGATGGATTTACAATGACAATTATGACTGCCATAAATTAAGTTGAGAATTTATGATCGAATAGATAAATATTTCATATCATTTTATTTGATCTATTGCCACATTTGTTTACTTTACTCTTTCACATAATATATTGAACTAAAACTTGATCACTCTTACAAATACGACTTTTTACCAATCTACTCAACAAGTACTTCAACCATCTAAATCGAATTTCCATTGCAAATATCAACGCTGTCGTGAGGGGAAAGCTCTGCATATGGAAAGACGTGAAAGAAGAGGTCAACTCTATTTGACGAAGCTCCAAATGGCACAACTCATTTTACCTTTTTAAGTTAAATAAGCTAATAATAAAAGGCAGATGGGTATAGAACAATCTTTCACTAGAGCATGTTTAGGCAGTACGTAGCAAAATTTGATGCAAGATTGACTTTTTCTTCTCTACTGAAGAAGCCATGTTGGCTATCCATCTAACCAAATCACGTGACTAAATCAAGTTCACCACCAGCCTTAGAATTCTTTATCTCCTACCCAAAATAGAGGCACCTGCACCCACACAATACAAAGTCTCATCCCACAAGAACAAAAACACATACATTCTGCAATCTCTTTAACCTTTGCAGATAAATTTCTGAACAAATTCAACGATGGAAGGAACCCGTTTGGCAAACAGACCAACATTCCCAATTCATCCAACAAAACCCACATCACAACCAAACCATCAGCGCTTGAAATTCAACACTGCAATAGTTCCTCTTCCTACTGTACTACCTCAACAGCAACAGCAGCAGCAGCAATCCCCTTCTTCGCATTCATTACCTGTTGATTCTCTCCTTCAGCACCTACTGCACATTTCTACTTCTGTTTCTTCACAAAATCAAGATCCTTTACCATCCCATTTCAAGAAAGGTAATGGATCATTTGATTTTCTTCCGTTGAAGTGTAAGTTCATGCTTAACTCAATTTTGGAGCAGCCCATTTGTGAATTGAATGCATTTTTTGATTCTGTCAAGTTTGAGTTGCTTCAAGAAGTTGATTTGATTAGTTTGTTGAAGGGTTTGGATGTTTCTGGTAACTGGGAAAAGGCCATTTTGTTATTTGAATGGGTTTTGTTGAACTTAGAAAGTAGAAAAGAGAGATTAGATAATCAGGTTATTGAAATGATAGTCAAGATTTTTGGTAGGGAGTCTCAACATTTTGTTACTACAAAGCTGTTTGATGTGATTCTGTACGAGGATTATACATTTGATATTCGAACATGGACTACAATTTTACATGCTTATTCGCGAACTGGAAAATATGAAAAGGCAATAACTTTGTTTGATTTTATAAAGGAAAAAGGGTTATCCCCAACTCTGGTAACGTACAATGTGATGCTGGATGTTTACGGGAAAAAGGGACGATCTTGGAAAAAGATTCTAGGGCTTTTGGATGAGATGAGGAGTTTGGGGCTTGAGTTTGATGAGTTCACTTGTAGTACTGTGATATCGGCTTGTGGAAGAGAAGGATTGTTAGATGAAGCAAAGAACTTTTTCGATGGACTCAAGGTTTGGGGTTATGTGCCTGGAACGGTTACTTATAATTCTTTGCTTCAAGTGTTTGGGAAGGCGGGGATTTACTATGAGGCTTTGAGCGTTTTGAAAGAAATGGAGGAGAACAATTGCCCTCCCGACTTGATAACTTACAATGAACTTGTGGCAGCATACGCGAGGGCGGGTTTTCATGAGGAAGGAGCAGCATTGATAAGCTCGATGAGACAGAAGAAATTAATGCCAAATGCTGTTACTTATACAACTTTGATCGATGCCTATGGCAAAGTGGGAAAGGAGGAGAAAGCTTTAAGTATGTTCAAGCAGATGAAGAAATGCGGCTGTGTTCCTAATGTGTGTACTTATAATGCTATTCTCGGGATGCTCGGGAAGAAGTCACGGCTTGAAGAGATGATGGAAATCATCTACGACATGAAATTGAATGGATGTGCTCCAAATCGTGTCACTTGGAACACAATGCTCGCTATGTGCGGAAATAGAGGAATGCACAAATATTTGAATCGTGTTTTCCATGAGATGAAGAGTTGTGGTTTTGAACCTGATAGGGACACATTCAATACTTCGATAAGTGCATATGGTAGGTGTGGGATGGAAATCAATGCTGCAAAGATATATGACGAGATGATAATTGCGGGATTTACACCATGTATTACAACCTCCAATGCACTTCTAAATGCCCTGGCTCATCGAGGGGATTGGAGAACGGCTGAATCTGTCATTTCCGATATGAGATACAAGGGCTTCAAGCCTAATGAAACGTCATATTCACTGATGCTCCACAGCTATTCAAAGGGGGGGAATTTGAAAGGTATAGAAAGGATTTCAAAAGAAATTTACGAAGGTCGACTATTTCCTAGTTGGGTAATTTTGAGAACTCTTATTCTGGCGAATTGCAAGTGTAGATCACTTGCTGGTATGGAGAGAGCATTTCAAGAGTTCCTAAAGAATGGTTATAAACCCGATTTGGTTTTATTCAATTCAATGCTTTCCATTTTTGCAAGGAATAAGATGTGTGAACGTGCCAATGAAATGCTCCGATTGATTAAGGAGAACGGTTTGCAGCCAGATATTGTCACATATAATAGCTTAATGGATGTTTACGCCAGGGTCGGTGAATGCTGGAAAGCCCAAGAAATCCTCGACGGACTGCAAGAGGCTAGTTTCAAACCAGATCTTGTATCGTATAACACTGTCATTAAAGGGTTCTGCAGGCAAGGTCTTATGCAAGAAGCTATAGGGACTTTTTCAGAGATGACAACTAGAGGAATTCGGCCTTGCATTGTCACCTACAATACGATCATTGCTGGCTTCTCCACACGGGGTTTGTTCCCTGAAGTACACGAAGTGATCAGTTATATGATTCAGCACAACTGCAGACCAGATGAGCTGACCTACAAGATTGTAATAGATGGTTACTGCAAGGCAAAAAAGTACGAGGACGCCATGGATTTTGTATGCAAAATTAGGGAGGACTCTTCCTGTGATGAGGAATCATTGCAAAGATTCACGACTCGTATAAGGGGAAATATGGAGTCGTCATTTTAAGGATCGGTATGAGACTTGCAGTATCATCTTACCTTTTCGACTGACATTTGAAGTTTCTTTTGCCCGGTTCAAAATAGTATTGATTTCCAAAAGCATGGAAGTGAGGACCTCACATGATCAGCAAGGTCTTGAATTTTGTTGGATATACCGTATAATCTTGTTATGGCATGTACAATAAGTTGTTTTTCTTTTTACATCTGTTGGTTAAATGGAATTCTTTCTCATGTGGAAGAACCAAACTCATAAGCAATACGGCTAGGAAGGAGGGCACAAAGATTCCTACGAGTTCTCGATAAATAAAGCAAAATCGACCTTTACTTCAGCTGGAAACCTAAACCCAAACGTAGCTATGTTGCTCGGCTATCTCATCGGCAACTTACTTTCTTCAAGGAGTGATGGCCAGCTTAATGACACATGCCAGAGCCTAAAAGAATTTTCATTTTCCTCAGATCATGGAGCTTGCTAAAGATAGTTCATGAAGCTCACTTAGCATCCATTCTTCCCCGGTTTGACATCCAAGGACTATGGCCCGACTACCTCTAACGATGCATGTACAGTGTCCCCAAGCAAATCTTGGAGGCCGCCCGGGTACATTCAGAATCCTCCATGTCAGTTTCTCTTTGGTTGGGTCGAGTATATAGAGCTGGGATGCTGAGTGAATTCTGCTACCAAGGAGGCTCATCGCCACATGATCAAGCCTGGGAGGAGTAGCTATACCTCCGGGATTTCCAGCACCAGGCATCCCACTCCCCGTTACACATCTCCAACACGGTTCTTCCTCGCTCAGATCCATGGTGAATACATCACTTGATCAATATAATTTTAATTAAGCTTAAAATTCAGGAACTTGTCTGAAAATCAAAGAACAGGAGAAAACAAAAAAATTGTTTCAGGACAAATTACAGAGAAAAAGCCCAGTTCTCAAACTCATTGAACAAAGGACCCAAAATGGATTGCGTCCGCAAGTCACTTGTGCCTGTGTGGGATCTCCAACTGTTTGATAACATGTGCATTAGATATTCTTCCTTTAAATTGATTTATTTGTCAGCTGACAATTCTATTAGTAATTAAATTGTTTGGTGTAGCTATAAACTTCAATGTTACACTCAAATTTATTTTTACAGGCGTGGGCAAGAGTTATCTGCTTCTGCGTTTTTCGGATGGTTCCTTAAACAACTAGTTTCATTACCACTATCGGGTTTGTAGTTTTGAGACATCTTGTTACTTTGTAGATGCTTCAATCTGCTATGAAATGGACAGTCAATATCTAGAACGTGAGGAGTTAGCAATAGCTGATGCCAATATTGCATTTCTTCTATTCCAAATTTCACCATTAAGTAGTTTCTAGGACGCACATGCTAACGATTTGGAATAGACTACTTCAGCACATATTTTTCATATGAATTGTTTTACTTGTTCATGTTTATAGGCCAAGTTTGATTATGTCTCTTAATTCAAAATGTCCGCATTTGCCACTGACGCAAACAAGTCGACGTGTGTTGGGTTATTTTTCCAGTAAGTGGTATCAGAGTACACAGTTCAAACTAGGATTGCTGCAAAGATGAAGACAAGCTCCAAGTTTGAGAAATCATATTTTCCTTCTATTTTATATATTTTCAAACAAGGGATGTTTTTTGTGTGCATTAACGCTTTTCGAAAAGAGCTGCTAAATCAAGTTCCAGTTCAGTTGAACAAAATATAACCGCCTTATCAATGGTTAAAACTCATTTGAAAGATGTTTCGACTCATATTCCTACTAATGCAATTTGACCCCAATAATTTCTAACTAGTGCGAAGGCAATCAATTGACCCCAATAATTAATGGACGTGGTTCTCACTAGTGCAATTCACTTTCTCAGCAGTTTTATCAAATGTGTCCATTTGTTCAATTTTGTACTATAATTAATTTTTATTTTATTTTAAATTTTACATTCACGAAAATACAACATTAATCCAACTAATAATATGTTCAATCTTAACTCTTACAAAATTATATAATTTATTTTAAAATTATGTAAATAACAAGATTTCTTAAAGATATCCATTCATCAATGTATACGAATTTTAAGAAATAAATAAATAATAATGCTAAAACACTGATTATTCCATTCCATTGATTCCTTTACTTCAAGCCTTCAAGTTGGGCATTGGGCACTTACAATTGATTGATTAAGTAATTGGTAAATTTATTTGTAAAAAATGAAACAATTTGGCCTCTTCAATATAAAAAAAAAAAAAATATTAGAGAGTTTCAATTTTTATTCAATTATTTGATTCTTCAGATATAGAATTGGGAATCAAACCAAATTCATCGATTATCTATTCTAATATTATTTGAGGATTTAAATTTTAAACTAAGAAGAATAGAATCGAATCATTTAATTCGAGAGTTTTGTCCGATCAATAAATACCATTATTCAATCAATAAATGTGGTGTGGACTTATTTGTTCAATCCAGCTGTGTTCATTCACAATTATTGAATCTTGATGTAGATTGGTTCAATAATCAATTAAAGGTAACAGACACAATATACAATTAATTAATTGAAATGGGGAACATTGACCCCAAGAATAGACCACGTTCTAACTTGTGTCAATCATGGTACATGTATAAAAATATTTGATAATTTTTTTGATAGATTGCAGATAATTAAATGTTGGGCAAACAAAGATGAAATCAGTTAATAAAGTATTCTCACCTCATCATTTGTAATAATTTTTGTACATTTCAATATAAGGAACTTGATTCGTTTACATATTCAATAGTTTCATTCATTAAACGTTCTTGTTCAATTTCTATTATAGACTTTTTTGACAAATATTACGTAATACTATTAAAAGAAAAGAAAAAAAAATTAAAATCACAATCAGTGTAATGTTCAATCATACTTAATTCAATAAATCAAACAAGACATAAGGGTATGTTTGGTACAGATTGCATGAATTGAGCAACGTAGAAGATTTTTACTTCTTCTCTCCTTAGTCCATTGTTTGGTGAGATTTAAAATCAATATTTAATTTAAGTCAAAATCAATAATTAATTTTAACTACATATTTTATGATATTCATAATTTTTCAGCTATGCATTTTTTCAATTTTTATCAAATTTAATAAATTTCTGATTTTGATCTCCACCAAATAAGGGGGTTAATGATATTCAAGGCAGTGTTCTAAAAAGCGTAAAGCGTAGCTAGGCGTGGAGGCTAAGTGTCAAGCTTTAGGAGCCTAGGCGAAGTTTCAGCGTAAAAAAAAAACATTTTTTTATTTTTTATTTTTAATCATTGTAAAAAAATTTAAAGAGCCACTAAATCAAGTTGTAGTTCAAGCAAAGGAAGTATGACCATCTCACCAATAGTTGAAACTCATTCGAGAGATATTTCGACTTAATTCCTACTAAGGCTAATAATAATTATGGAGAACTTTGTTGAGGGATAGAAGAAAGAAAAATCCATCTTGTTATTATTTGCGTGTCAATAATAATTAGTTCATGCTTCATTGAACCTACTAATTTGAACAAAAAATAGATTTTTTCAAGAAATAAAAAACCCATATTAAATCGGCTCCAAGTATATATGATATGTGGGAACGAGGCCTAAACATGAGTCGGTTAGGTTCAATTCTAAAGATAATTGAACAGAACTGAATCAAATAAAAAATATTGGGTATTTGATTAGATGAACCATTATGTCTAAATTTAATTATGGAACGATTTCGTACCATAATTAATTTTTTTTTTACAACTACAACAACGCTACATCAATCCAACCGATGATACGTTCAATCTTAACTCTTACAAAATAATATAATCCAATCCAAAAATATAAAAATAACAAGTTTTCTAATAAGATGAATTCATCAATGTATGCAAATTCTTAAAAATAAATAATAACACTAAAAGATCCATGATTTCACCCAATTGATTCATTTGCTTTGATCCCTCAAGTTGGGCCTTGGACAGTTACAATTGATTATTTAATCGACAAATTTATTTATAAAAAAAATTGACTTATTCAATATAATTTTTTAAAAAAGAATTATAAAGATTCGGTTCTTATTCGATTTTTCAGTTCTTGGTATAGAACTGAGAATTGAACCAAACCATCAATTATCGATTCTAGTGCTCATTTGAGTATTTAAACGAAGAAGAATTGATCTTGATTGATTCGACATTTTAGTTCGACCTCAAGGACTGCTTGAGAGTTTCGTTGTACCGATTATAAACGTTTTTTAAAGTACCGATTTTGACCATTTATGAGCGAATCGAGTTTAAGTGATATTAGTAACGATTTTGAAACTTTTCAACCCATGCTTAGGAGTTTATTATCCATTAGTTCTGAAAGTTTTTCAAAAGAATAAAACTACATATGCGTCCCTTAGTAAAACTTTCAGTTTATAATTTCTTGTACGGAATTTTTTTACTCATAGATGATGTTTTACTTATAGGTAATTTTTTTTCAAATATAAGTTAATATTTATTTTAAAATTGAAATAAAGTTAAATATTTACTAAAAATTTTAAGTTAGTATTTTTTACTTATAAATAAATTTTATAATAAGTTAATTTTTTCTTAAAAGTATTTTTTATAGTTTATAACTGATATTTTATTTTATTAGTATTATTTTTATTTTATAAACAATTTTTTTTACATAAATTTGACTTTTTTTACTCATAAGTAATTTTTTTTTAACTATAATGTAATTTTTCTTATCTTAAAGTAATATTTTATTTACAAGTATTTTTTTAAATTAAAATGTTATTTTTTTTTTTATATAAATAATTTTTTTAGTTAATATATTTTTATTTATAAGTTAGCTTTGAAAAAAAAAAATTAGTTGTAAATAATTATTTATAGATGGTAAAATTCAAAGTGAACATGAGAAATGATCAGAATTCGTCGACTTGATAGGTTGAGAGAACTGGTCAAAATTACACTACACCATTTTTGATATTTTTAAATCATCTAAAATCAGCACCCAAAAAATTTAGTAAACACCGATTCT